GGAATGGAGCTCAAGGCTGATGTCAAGTGCAGAGCCTTTTCTTCTGTACCAAATCAGATGGGTACACAGGTATTCATTTGCAGAAAGACTTTTTGATTTTGGGAGATTAGAAATGCATCATGGTATATCTTCTGTGACTTCAGCTGTTCAGAATGCCATAGCAGAAAAAGGACTGACAAACTGTATTAGTTTTAGTGGTTAGGGTTTCATGTGTTCTCCTAGAATAGTCCTTGATTACTATAGTAGGAAGATTTGCTGAAGTATATATAGCTTAAAAGGTGCTTAAAGACATTTTATTATATCACCTCCTTGTATAAGAATTCTATCATATTTTTTATGTTGACTATGTGCAAGAAGCCTCAGATAGATAACAAGTGAGTAGATACTCCCAGGAGTCCAAGCCATTTTTATACCAAAACATTCTTGTTAGAGTAGTTTACAGCATGTCTATTATGAGAGATGGTATTTTTAAATAAAATGACTAGCTTTACAGAAAACTTCAGGACATTTCTTTGAAAGCTTGACAGTGGTATAACATGGGGTTGTATGTGCCTGTTTATAGTTTGTGAGAGTGAACAGCTTAATATTTCACTTAAGATGTCCCCATATTTAGAGTTGCTGCATACCAAGTTCTTCATTATAGAAGTCTAATTCAGCTATTCTTATAAACTTTGTTTATAAAAATGTTGCAAACAATGGATGCGTGCGTGTGCGTGCGCATGCACACACACACCCCAAAAATAGTCTAAACCAAAAAAAAATCTCCTGATACTACCCAAGCACAGTGAGGATATCATGCCTGAATCTGAAACAAGAGGAACGAACATAGGACTGGAAATCAGTAGACCATATTTTGACGTTGACACCAGGTAGAACAGGTGGATTGAAAAGAAAGAACTTCACTATTAGGTCTGACATCTTCATCATCATTGTAAGACTGAGGATCAACATGGCAGCACTGGTCTTTCATCACCTTGATCATCAGCCAAGTTCCTGGCAAATGAGGGCAAAGATGGACCCATTACAAGCTCTGTCAACTTTAGGAAAGTTGGAAACACCACTTGGAATGTGAGACTTGCATTCCTGTGGTTTCTTCCCTGCCTCCCATCTCCTTTTCCTTTTTCTACCTTGTTACTTTTCTTTCCTTTCTTTCTCTTTCTACCTTAAGAAAAAGCAGGTTCAGCCTAGCAAGACTATATCGTTTGCAATATTGCTGTGAATGCGTGACAAAAATCAGCTACAAGAAATGACATAAGCAGCCAGTACAACTTTGCCAGGTGCTAAAGTGCCTGTCTTTCTCCAGGAATGAGGTTGCAAGTATGGCTCAGCACTAAAAGCCCAAAGCAGCATTTTTGTCTGCTGTTCTTTTCTTCATCCTTTTTTGTGGGCATTCACCTTGTTGTTTGGTTCCAACAACAATAGTTCCAGCCCCTCAACAAACTTTTTCTCCTTTTCCCAAAAAGGCCATTATTACCACCTTTAATACCATCTGAAAGATATCAAGCAGGGAATGGTTTCTTTCTTTTTTGAATACTCTACCAAAAAAGGGAAAGGAAATAAGACAGATTGTTGAAGTGAAAGCTTTATTACTTTACGTTTCAAATGTTTTTCACTGTTCTGCTTAAAAAAAAAAAAATCAGTAAGACTTTTAATGGTGATAGCTTACCATGGCACAAAGCAGGTCATGGTCTATGTACTTGAAAGAAAGGGTTTAATGGTGTACAGTCACTGTGTGCTGTTAACACTTTAGGTTTTCCAGGCCCGTTTCTTTCATCAACTCTAATACAACAGAGTGCACTATGTCTTCTCTGTTCTTCAGTATTATCACTGTGGGTGGGTTATGGTTATGATTTGAAATGCCAGTATCCTCACTAACACTAGCACCACCAGTATGGAATCTGATTATTTAACAAAAGCTGAGGTGGACAGGGCAAAACTGCTATACTCCAAACTCAGCCAAGGACAAAGGACATGTGGGGGCCAGAGGAAACACTTTTAGGACACCACGGCAAACATTAAGAAGTATGGCATTGACACCTCAAATTTTGGAAAAAACTAGCCTGGGACAAGGCTACACGGTGATGCCTTGTGAGAGAAAGTATATCTTACTTTGAGGAAAACCGTCTTGCCCTGGAGGCAGAAAAACAACAGGAACGGAAGGAAATGAAACAAGACCAAGAAATCCATAATCTGATGCTCCCTTTAACCACCACCTGTAGCGTTTGCCAGAGAGTGTACGGCTCTAGGATCAGTCTTCTTAGCCATCAGTGGACTCATTTATAACCCTTTACTTGATCTGTGGGGGTGATCATCCTTGACTGTGCAGGATCACCACTGCTACCGCCACTCATTTGAAAGTAATTTCAAAATTATACTGCTGCCTTCTAGGAAAATATTTACTCTTCTGTCCCCTAGGTTTTTTGCAGTGCTTTGTGCTTTCAATCCATTATAGAAATATCAGTTGGTGCATTACACTATTTGTCTTGCTGAAGAACAACTCTGTGCATTCAGCCTGGTTCTCAATATAATCTTCTGGAATTGTGGAAAGCTGACAATTCTCAGAACTGATTATGGCCGGGCCGTGTTTTATCCTTTCAGCTGAGCGAGTGAAAGAGGGTCTGAAAAAAGCAAGAAACACAAGAAAAGACCAACAGAGTATATATTGCATCGTCATCTCTTTTTCCCCATAGGAGATGTGGGTTCAAGTCCTCAAGCACTCTCAGGCCGAGAATGGAACCCACATGAGTCTCCCACATCTTGTGGGAGGGCTCTTCATTTCCCTGTTGGTTAACAAAGATAGAACTCCTGAACCAAAACATTTCAGTTCCAGGCAAATAGAACATTTCCTTGAGTTATTTTTTCCTGAAACACACCACCACCCATGTGTGCTCTAGACCTGTTTATATACTTAGAGAGAAGGAGCTAAGCATTTACATCACTCTGTTGGAAGCTCAGAGATTTAGGACACTCAACAATTAGAGCTTTGGAGACAAGTCAGTGCTGCCCCAGCAAAAATGAATTTGTATTCAGTTTTGCAGTATACTTCATGTTCGTATTATAAATCAGTGAAACACATTGGGAACAGCTGCACTAATTCCATCCTTTGCACTAGTCAACTATGCCTCCGAAAACATATAGTGCATCTTAGACATGGGGCCAACTCGAGGGGGATCCTGAAGCTACATGATGCTTACTGTGTAGCTGGTTTGCTCTTCTATATGACATCATTTTAATGTGGTTTTGCTCCCTTCTGTGCAATGGAAGGGAGTCCATGGCTCTCAGATTTTGAAGACCTATCAGACAGTAATTATTCAGAGATGGGAATTTCCATTTGCAACGTCTGAGGTGGGGAGGTGAGCATGTCTTAAGTTACTTTTTTTGTCTCTCTAGAAAGATTTTTTGAAGACCATGAAAATGTTGTTGAAGTCTTATCAGACTGGACCCGGGACAGTGAAAATAAAATGCTGTTTTTGGAAAAAAATGAAAAATATGCAGTGTTTAAAAATCCCCAGGTAAGGGAACACAATGTTTGTAAATCAATCTAAAATGCTGTGGTTTGCCTGTACCATGTTTTATCTGCTTTTCAAGTTCATGGTTAGAAAATGCAAACTTGCAGTTTCAGGAACAAAGCACAAAAGAATTTTAGTCTTGCTTCCTCTCGCCTTCCATCTGCAAGGTTCCTCTCTATCTTGGCCTACACTGGCAAAGTCCCCTACTGGGGTGGTTCCAGTAATGAAATCTGTTGCGTAAATGCAGAGCTCAGAGCCACAATTAGATGACCAGTTGTAAAAACATAGGTTTTGTCCTACAGCTTCCTTCATCACTACCACTGATGGACCCTCAAGATCTGCTTGTGTCCAGTTGTGACTGGTGTTATATGCAGCTTTAGAAACACAATGCTGCGTCCTAAGAAAAGAGTTTATATATTCCACTAGCCCTCTGACACTATTAATTTTATAAATGAGGACCTCATCACTAAAATGTGTATGATATAGGCTTCCATGCAAAGTCCTGTCACTAGTATGTTAAGTGGCAGAAATCACAGAAACAAAGACCCAAAGATATACAGATGATGAATCCCAGGGAGTCCTGGTTTCTATCTTTGTCAGCATCCATTATCCCCTTGAGCATCTGGTTTGATCTTGAGCCCAGCGATTGGAAAATGTAGTCACTATTCCCAAAAACAGAGTCAAATGCATAATCTTGCTCCGCTCTCATTTTAGGACATCTCTCTTGAATAAATCAATGCCTCAAATGAAACCTGCAAAAAGGAATCCTCCTTCAGTCATGTAGTCAGTGATCACAGGAGGGGAACAAAAGCTTTTACTGCAGTGAGCATGGACTGGTGTTTGATTTTTAATATTAAACAATTTAACAAAGTTTGAAAGCAAACAGTACAGGATGGCTGGAGCTGCCATGCTTTCTAGACGTGTCATAATTTGCCTAGTTACTGGGATTGTATGTTTGAATCCTACACCAAAGATGTGATTCTTGGTAGCATGGAACAGTCCAGTGAGCAGTACATTTCCCAGCAAGCCAATACCTTCACTAGGGATGGGCAAGCAGAACATTAGCCCTGTGCACCACTTAACAGTGTCATCATGGTGGTCCCTGGGGAATCTGCACACTGGCAGCAACAAGAACAGCTGCCAGTATGCAGAGAGCCTAGCAAAGGTCTTTAGAAATAAACACAGAGTGAGACAAAAGCAGGGCAATCAATAATTCTGTCTTAATACTCTCTCAGGACAGATATCTATTTTAGGCTTGATCCCAAAAGGTGCAGGACACCTGCAGTTTTCGCACTTCATCAGGGGATCAGTATCTGTGGGTCAACTGCAGAGTTACTGGTATATATAGAAACTGGTTTCCTCAAGGTGGCATGATGGTCCTTTCTGCAACATATATTACCAGGCAAACCAGCACTTACGTAATCTCTGGTACTAAGGTGTACTTGTGACCACTAGATAATGGCCCACTTTCCCAAACTGTAGTTCTAAATATGCTTGCTGGAGATCCACAACAATCTTTGGTTCAAACCTTATCTGGATCACAGCATAGATCTCTGCCACTTAAGCAAAGGAGAAGCTCTGTTAGCTAGTACTAGCAGTAGATCCTTATCTCCTTGTAGTGGCTGGTCCCCAGAGGATATGACATATTTCATGTGTTGGTAAACCACCTCCTACAATCATTTATGAAACATGCCTCTAGAACTCTCAAGATCAATTGGGATTACAGATGGGGGTGGGGGGAGGGAGTGACCTTTATACTTTTGCCAAGCATGTACTGTCCCACTAATCTTTGTAGCCATGTTCAAAAGCCAGTTAGTCGCACCAGACAAGCCCTCTCTAATATTATATATATTTAAAAAACACTTGCAAAGGAGTACTTTCATCTTCAAAATGCAAAAATGTCTTGTTTTGCATGAAGACATGTATATCATCATCACACCCTTTGTGATATAATTTACTGTGCCAGAGAAATTACGTTAAGAGTCTGTTCCATGGATCTGCAGCAGTGACTAGAAGGTCACAAGTCTGTAACTAAAGAGTGGAACGCTAATACATATTGGTATGCATACACACAGAAGAAAACCTTCCCAACACTTTAATGCAGTGATTGCACTGATGCAGTGATTTTGTGCTGACCTTTTGAAAAAGAAAGGTGATTTGTTTCTTGACACCTATATTCAAAGGGCTTGGAAAACTGTTACAACTTGAGGAAGATTGTAATAAGAAATTTAAAAAAGGAAATACTTGGTTTCATTTGGGTTAGTTCATTCCCCAGGAACAGCTGAATCTGAATTCCTGAACCCAAAAGTTTTTTTTCCTGTTGTTTTTAAAACGCTCTAATTTTGGTTCTTCTCTTACACAGATTTTGGTTTCCTGACTTGCACTTTTTTCTTCTCACAAATAAGAGAAATTCAAGTCCTGAGGGTCACATCATGAACGTTTTCTTTATATCTTTAGTAAAAATGACTTAGAAGTATTTACATAAAATTGGTGAAATTTTAGATAGGGGCTGCTCTGTGTTTTAATTCTGCCATTGGTAAGCCAGGAGGAAAAGCTACAGCTATGAGCCTCACAACTGAATTCCTGTATCAGACTTCTGTTTCTATCCAAGATCTGATGTTTGAGGGTCTAAGCAAGCAAAAGAATACAAAAACTCTTGATAAAATTAAGAGGTTCTGGAAAAATTCCAAACACTTAATTTTGTAGAACAGCTATGAAAAATTCTGTTTGACTTTTTATTTTGTAATAGGTAGTGTCAGATTAGAGTAGACAATAGAGTTTAGGTAAGGGAAACTAAGACCCTTGGCTGATGTTCAGTTAAAGCCCTTATGGAATTTGATCCACAGCCCCAATGATCATGGTTCCTGCCATGCTACATGAACATGGCAGGAAGGACAACTATACCATATTGCCAGTTCAGGGGAGTCTGGGATGATGATCCCGGGCTCCCCTTGAACTGGCAAGAAGCAAGCCAGTCAGCTGATCAGGGCTTCCAGACTCAGGAGCACTTTGAAGTCAAAGTAGGGTTACCATATTTTGCAGCTTCAAAAGAGAGGACACCTGAGGCGGGGGAAGGGGTTATATGATTGTAGGGGGGTAGGGATATGCCCATGCCCTGCCCCTACCCCTCACTCCCAAGCCACAGCTCCCCCCACCATCCCTGCTGCTGCTTCTCACTCTTGACCTGCAGCGCCTGTCCCTGGTAATACCCCTCACTCCTTACCCGCAGCCCCCTGTCCCCACCCAGCCCTGCCAGTGCCCCTCACTCCCAACCCACAACCTTCTGCCCTCCCCACCAGCCCTGCTGCCCATACAGCTCTCTGCTGCCCCTGAAGAACCCCCCCACCCCCACCCCACTACAGCCCCAGTACCGGCAGGGGTGCGTGTGTGTGCACGCGCGTGCGTGTGCGCGCGTGTGCATGTGCACGCACACACACGCACACACACACACACCTGCCTGCAGCTGCTAGGCCCGCACACAGAGCATGTGATGCCCTGCCTCCAATCACCTTCCCCTGCTGCCCCCAGCATCAAGCAGCTCCTTGCTGGGGTAGAGGCAGAGCAAAATCCTGGACATTTGCTGATATTTTAAAAAACCACTTGGACCGAAATGGGAGGACCCAAAAAGAGGACATGAGCAGGAAAACCTGGACATATGGTAACCCTAAGTCATAGGTTCCTGTGTGCTCCCAAGGCTGGGAGCTCCAGTCAGCTGATGCCTGGCCACGTGTTCAATTTTAGGTGTGATGGGTACCGGCCACAAAATTATTACACATATTTTGTGGAATAACTTTGTGTTTTATTATCTGTTTTATTGCATCATTAACTGCATGAACATGTGACCAGATTACTACTTAAAACATCATTAACTAGTTAAGTTCTTCTTAAATAAATGTAAGGTGTGCCAGGAGCCTAAATTTAAAATCCAATCAGTTAACTAACTTTTATAATAGTTTCATCTAATACTCTCTGCCCATACTTACAGCTTTGCAATCACATTTTTTTTAAATAATTGTTTTTCCCTCCTCTCCAACTGTGAAAGATGCATACAAACAATACAGGGAAAGGAGTGAAACTGCTGGTAAACACAGTGCTGACAAACATGCAAAGAAACTGAAAATAGACTAGAGGCGTTTTTTCTGAGTTTTTTTTTTTCTTTTGAAGTGTTCTCTATTTTTTGTAAATCTTAGTTACTGTTATCAGATCATATGTTAATGAATCTCTTACACTCAACCCTCTATTATCATGTTCACTGAACATAGCAAAGCAAATATTCTTCCTCTTAAATGGAAGAGGAAGTGTGGTGCCTCTGTCTAACAGTATGAACTTTGTTATAGCTCAGTTTCCTGAGCTGCTTTGCATCTTCCTCCTCCATATTTGCATTTGTAATTTTCTAAGTGGCAGAGACCAGGCAGACGCATGTTGATGTAGGGAGTGCAGGGCGTTCTTCAGTATATAGTCAAGATGGCTACTAGACACACTTGCTGACAAACAAAGCTTTGCTCAGCATTCTTCTGTTTTAATTCAGTTTTGTCTACAGTTTAAATTTTCTTTAACTCTCCTAAAATGTTCCATTTTAACGGGGTTTTTTGTTTTTAACTACTTATGTTTTTGGCCATCTTTTGACCTGCTTTCTGACAAAGAATATAATTTGGAAACTCTGGCCAGAAACAATCAGTCATTTTCAAATGAGTACGGTCACACCATACAAAAACATACTTTTGTCAGTATAAAAATAATGTTGCAGCCTTTTTTTGAACAACTGCAGTATCGCTGATATTTGGTACAAAAACAATCCCTAGGATAGTTGTGGAGCCATGCTATGGAATGGAAGACACCTATTTAGAGTTGGCTAAATTATAATGGTTTTTGGGTTATTTAAAAGCGTAACTGCATGCATAACAATCAAAGATTCCTCAATTTTCTATTGCCAAAGCATGCAAGTAATTTCTGGTTTCATTCATATTGGCTGGGGGGTTAACCACTTCTGGCCTTGGATTTGTGTAACTAGTAGAGTATGGTGCTATTTTTGAGGACATGCACAAGTATGCATAGAAGACCATCTGCAGGTGGTTTTTTAGAATCTCACTTCATTTTAGTCTGTGTTCAAAGCTATTAATCTATGCACATTAATCTATGCACTTTCATCGGTGGGAAATTTTGTGCAAAGTGTAGAACTATTTCCATCATATAGATGCTCTCTTTATATTCTTTAAACACATGCACAGACGTGAACCCCCCCTCCCCCCCCATAGCATGCACAAAAAGAAACATCTGAATGTTAAGGAGGAAAACAAACAAAAGCAAAGTGAATACTGCCTGCAAAACTGAACACTGCCCCCTTGTGTATGTGTCTTATGATGCAACCTGGAATTATGGCCACATTCTCTTTTTTTTCTGCAGGAGCCTTGCTGCCTTCAGCAGTCTGAATGGGCAGCATGTAGCAAATGAGACAGTGATCCGTAGAATCTTTGCATCATTCAGTTCACAGTCTGGATGATGGATAGTTAATGAGGGATAGGTCTATTCATTGAACAAAGAATATAAAGATCAGTAAGGAGCAGCTGCATCATTTACTGCACACTGTCTGTCCTGTGCAGTGATGCATGCTGGGGTCTTGTGGAAGAATACTTTATAATCATGTAATGAAAAAAATGGTATGCACATGCATACCAAACCCAAACTGAAGTTACTCTGATAACCTCAACCCTGCCGTTTACTGATTTGAGAGCTTCACTTTGCAGCTGTAGTAGACCTTTAATATATATTTTGGTAAAACTATATATTCTAATGAGAAAAAAATTGCACTACAAACACCTATTTGTTACTGTGAATTGACAAGGAGCTGTTGGATTCCCATTGTGGGTGAAAGAGATGAAAAGCATTGATTGTGGTTTTTTAAACAAATGTCAACACTGACTTTAGGAATTTACAGCACAACACCTGGCTGTTTCTGCCATGTTCAAAGTTCAGTTCGTTTCCACAGCACCTACTTCATTTTCTACAATAACTTAAGCCAGTGGTACTTATACACAAGAGAAAGTAATCGGTTACACAGTTTCTCCCCCAGCCACCTCAGAGGAAACCTTGAAAGTATGGGAAGGTGTCTACACAGCCCATGCAACTTTGAAAATCACAAATACAAAGCACAAAATGAAGCTAAACTGACTAGAGAACCCCTTTGAGAATTACTTCTACATGGTGTGAGGCAAGCAGAAAGAGTAGAGTTGCATCCTTTGCTAGTTCTGCTGCTGCACAGCCTGGCATGAGGAGGAGACATGGCATCCCAGTTCTCTGCTCACATAACGTCCTTTAGAAGTGAGCTGTTTTGGGGCCTGGCAGAGCAGAATGGGAGATGCAGCTGGCTCTTCGTAAACTTCCCTCCTGAGTTCTTTATGAGCACAGCAGAGGATTCAGTCCCAATAGTTACAGACAAGGTGAAACAAAAATAAATTCCTTAAAAAAAAATAAAAAGGAAAATAAGCCACTGGAAATTCCAGTGCTGCCAGTTTGGTTTGTTTGAATACTGTATTACTTTTAACTTTCCGTTCTTTTGTTATCATCCCAAGAGAATCAACCCATCTGTCAAGTAACCTCAGTTCCCTACCACAAACAGACACATCCTCCTTTGGACATAAAAAAATATTCATGCTTGGAACGTGTGTGTATACAGGTCTCCAGCCTTTGTAGCTTGTCTTCACAGTAATGGCCCAACATCCCCAGGCCTGATGCTTCTTCAGAAAGTAAACAGTACCTTTTAAGGTGACCTGTGACTAGTGGACTTGTGGACACATGTGGTTGCCTGGTACACAATGAATGCTGTTCTGATCAACAGGAGAAGACCACCCAGTGATAAAGTCAGTACAGTATGTGGTCTCCTTCCTGAGGCCTAAGTTACTGAAGGATAATAAATGTCATGTCCTGTCAGATTTCAGGGAGATGGGAAACAACAGGAAATAAACAATAATACATTAAATGAATGCTGACAAGTGAAAAATGAAACAACAGGCTGGTATAACTTATATTTAAATGACAAAACCCTGCTTCGCTGATAAAAAGCAGCCTTGCTAGTGATCCAGCCAGGCTGTCTCTATTAAAAGTTCTCGCTTTACCATGGACTGTGTCAACACAGGGTGGTCCTTTTTTTTCCCCTCCTGAATAAATGCCAGATGCTAAACACAAACCACTCATAAACTGAGAACCTTTCTTTTCTTAAGGACATCAATAGTCTGCATTGGTGGCTAAGTCATGGCCAGATCGAGATAGTCACTTTATGAACCCATTCTTGGTGATGCAGCAGTGATAAGGACCACTCCAACTAACATCTTTTACTGGGTTAGTGGGGTTCTGCCACTGCTCCATTTGAGGCAAGACCAGGTGATTTCAGCCTGCCCATATGCTATCTTGATGTGGAAGAGAGTTCATCTCAGAGCCCAAGCAGCTGAGCAAAGTCCTACCAGGGCTTGTGTTGCTAAATTCTTTAGGCACGTTTGAAAATTCCTCCCGCCTTAAGTGCACCAGCTTCTGTGTAACATCAGGCCAGCAGAGCTATGAGAGAGCATGTCAGCAAGGTTCAGAGCAGTAGGTTTCAGGATAGCAACTGCATTGAGATGAAGTGGCTACTTAGTCCTTTCCAAACCACTGTTTTAGGCTGTCAGTAGACTTGGTAGGCATCATGAATGGACATTTTAGCCACTTTAAAAAGGGGATGGAGAGCTGCTGCTGCTGCTTGGGAGTGTTACATCTCCATGATCCTGTTGCATTTAAAGTTGGAGTGGTTTTGCTATACTTGTGTCACCATAGGATCATGAAAATGCAACAGTAGCTCCAGGTATCAGGCTTGCCCATTTGGCATATTGTGCATTTTAAAATGATCTTTATTTAAAAATGTATTTCTAAAGCTCCACTGAAAAACAGTCTGTCATGAGCCTTGCACTCGTGCAAACTACTGTACAAAATGCCACTTGAAAAAGGAGCTGTGGTTACATTGGCAGACCGGATTCCTCTGCTGATAAACTGCTTGCTGCTGGTGTTGCAATGTGGGAAAGTAGTCTCTGAGATTGCATGTGCAGATGGAGAGTTTAACCACTGCATGTTCCTCCTATTGCTGGCAAATTTCTTGTTTCATTTCAGATCCAGGCTACCTTTGGGTCTTTTCTGATTTCTGGGACCAATCTGCATGGAAGTTCCACAGTTTCCCAGCCCATACTCATCCCAAAGTTAATAGAGGATTGTGTACATTAATATATGCAGCTTCTCCTCCTCCCTCCCCTCCCCCCACTCAGTTTTTAAACTAATTGGGAATGGAAAGTTTTAACTGTGTGGGCCACATGAATTTTACACTGGGAAAATGGAGTGTGAACCCTAGGGTAAGACACCTACGGTAAAGACCACCTATAATAAGTTTTTGAGAACAATCCTTGGACACCTGCTTTTCATAACTGCTAGCTTGGTTGCAAGAGTTCAGAAAAGCTGAACAACATTACTGTGTGTGTTTGTAGCAAACTGTTCATTTATGTTCAACATCAACTTCTTTTGTTTTTGTAATCAGAATTTCTACCTGGCAAACAAGGGGAAAAATGAAAGCAAAGAAATGAATGAGAAAAACAAAGAGGCTTTGCTGGAGGTAAGCCAACTTGGTGGTGCAAGTGTTGATGAAGCAGAAGTACCCTATATACTACTAGCAGACTGCCACCAACCACTTCTGCTTTAGAATAGCAGCATGTAGCTTTTATGTGCAAACGGGTAACAACAGGAAGTTCTACCATGAGAGTCGTTATATTATCAGCTTTGTTTTTAAGCCCCGTAAAACACCCTGCTGCTCAGCACGGTGAACATGGTTTTCACGCAGTGTTATGAGAACAAAGAGCCAAATTATTCCATTTTTTCTGTTAGCCTGAAATCCTGTAAGTGTATACGCGTAGTCTGAGCTTCACTGTAATGGAAAAGGCATGGAACTATCTGCAGTCATACAGGTTAGGAGTGTGCTTCAGTATTTGTAGGACTAGTGCCTTAGGATAAACTTACTTTTCTCAGAGCCCTCTAAAAAGGTACTTGCCATCAAAGTTCATCTTAGCTCTGAAGTTATCAGTCTGTGTGCAGATTCTACCAATATTATCATCCTGTTCCCAAGTGTGCAAGTTTGGATTCATTTACAATATAACACGCAGACCAAATCAATGTCACTTCTCCTTGGTTTAAACACAATCTACAAGTAACTTGTAATTAAATACTTAAGGGACTCCACCACTCAAGACTAGTGGGGAATAAATGGATCTAGCTAGATCCAGGCAGTTCATAATAAGCATTTGCTTTCTCACAAATCTGCCTACTGGGCAAAACCAATACTCTACAATGCTCTTGAGCCAGCGTGGAGAATCATCTTGCCCTTTTATTAATAGTAAAATTGATTAATAGTAAAACCATTATCTTCTATTCTTTCTAATTAGAAGTAGATATGTAGCTTCTCCACCCAATCATGTCTACACCCAGTTATTATCTGAGCTAGCTCTGTAACTGACAAGTAGCCTCTTACTTGTTTTTAAGAAGCCTGTGTATCTTTTTTGGCCTTTGCTGCTAAAACTCCAGTAGAGCAATCTATCCAGAAAGAGAGCGAGCCAGTATTCCAACAAATTAATGATTACTGCAGATTTCAGGGAATGAATAAAACCTTGTATTTCTTCTGGGCAAGCATTTTAATTTTGATGTACAGGAAGAGAATAACCAATAATAGAATGCCTGGGAAATCTTGCTTCAAAATTAGTACATCATCATGAAGGCACCTAATATTAGCAAAGAAGTCTGATTGTAGTACCTTTTAAATGTAAAACTAAAATAAAAGTATGTTGACATTAAAGATGATGTAATAGGAGCTCCTTTAAGACAATGGAATACATTCACAAACACTGTTGCGAATGCAAGTGCAAAATTTAAGAGTAATTATAAATTTCTATTAATCTGAATCTTTGTTTTTTTATTTTAGGGTTCTTAGTGTCTTTTAGGGACAGTTTTTATGACATTAAATATTTCCCTGCACAGCCTTTAGCTGTATTAGCAGTTGAAAACCAGAATGTGTAATAGTGCTAACAGTGGTCCTCTCTGGACATGTTTGCTCTGGTTAAAATCTTGAGTAAATTATTGCCTACCCCTCACATTCACTCTTACAGTAAGTTCTGTTTCTGGTCACAGGACTTGGCTAGGGGTGACCCAAAATAGAAATTTATCACTCGACAAAAGTTGATCCACTATTACAGCCTTTACAAACATATTCTGGGTCTTAAGTGGAGGGAACAGGGCTTTTATGGGCCCTTTTTCTAGTGTGAACTAAATTGGATTCCCAAGACCTTTTAAGCACTCTAGAAAACTCTTGTTTGCATGTCCAAATGTCCAGCTTTGGAAACTGGCCTTCCCATCTTTATACTCATGCCCACAGAAAGTGCCTTTAAGTGAACACGTTGCCTCTGTATATTAATATGGGTGATTGACTCCATTTATTTTGTGTAATCTAATTCTCGCTGCACAGGAAAGCTTCTGCGGGGCATCTGTCATTGTGCCAGAACTCGAAGCAGCCCTTTATTTAAAAGAAGATGGAAAAAAGTCCTGGAAGAGGCGTTATTTTCTTCTGCGGGCTTCTGGAATCTATTACGTCCCCAAAGGAAAAACCAAGGTCAGGAAATCACAGGAATCATTTTAGCAATAAAGCAATTCATAGAGGTGAAAGTGAAGAACTCCCGAGGTGACATTTTAAGAGCAGTGTTTGGTGCATCTGAGAGAGTTTTCTCTTTGACTGCAACACTTGTGCAAATATTAGGATATGGCCACTGAAATCCTGTGGCCTTTCCCTCATTTTCATTCCTACAGTTAGATAAAAGCATTGGATGAAATCCTGTACCCCTGGAAGTAAATGGTGGGGGGTGGGAATAAATCACAACACTCTTCAGTTGGCATTTCACTGTAAATAATGCCATTGGTATATATATGGTTCTCTGAGAGAGAATTTTAAATGTTAGCAGTCTCATTCTTTGTAACAAAATGCAGATAAAGTAAATCTGTCATTGTTTATAATGAGAGACTGTTGAAATCTATAGTCTGGCTTAAGTCTGTGTTTGTAATCAACTTGTCACACCAATAATTGGTACATGGAAGTACTCCACAATCTTGCATTGTTGTATACCAGACATTTATCCTGAGGTAATCTTTACCTAGAGAAAATGCTCTACTGTTTCAGCTTCTTTAAGGATGCCCTCTCTAGAGAAAGAGGTGAGGTAGAGGCATTCAGGTTGCAAAATCTAATACACTGACATTTACCGTTACTGAGAATTTAAAGAGTCTGCGTTACTAGCCAGCAGAAGATAAGGTAAGAAGAACAAAGTGTATGCAGCTTACTGCCTCTCATTTCTACAGTGAACATCTTGGTACTAGGTTTTGGTATTGTGAGCAGGTGTCAGTTTTCTATTCTGGAGAGAGTTGCCACTTACAGCTTTGTTATGGCTTCACCTTTATTCTGGATGAGGAAGCTTTTACATATGACAGAACCTCATTGTAACCATAACAAATGAAACACACAGAGTTAACAGAACTTAATTGTTCCAATGCTCCCAAAGTGCTACTGCTCAGGTGACCCAGATTCAGAAGCAGAGTGGGACCCAACCCTGGGCAAAACACAAAAGAGATGCACTTAGATAACTGGCCTGCTTGTACAGCAATTTACAGAGTGGCTGCATAACAGTGGTCAAGGGGCTTTCCATTCCTCAACTCCTCTCCTACCCATCTAGCACTCTAAGCAAATATCTGAACCCTAATTGGAAGAGGCTTTACTTCAGTCACATCTCAAGTAAGTTAAATGCCCTCCCTCCAAGATAGCTGGATTGTGAAATTGTTCTCACTCTTTTAAAGTAAAATGCAAATCACAGTAATTAGACATCACTTGAACTAGGTTTAAAAAAATAAAAAACAAAAAACCGTCTTGGTCATTCAAATATATACCTAGACCCATGAAAATGTAAATACCCATGCAAGAAATTGTGCATGTGCTGGTTTTTTGCATGTAGATTGGGCACTAACACTTGAAAAAATGTTCGAACCTAATTGCATCACGATTTCCTTACCAGACCTTTCCCTTCAGTTACTCTACTTCTGGCCCATTCCTCATCACATGAAAAGCAATATTCACAGAGAGTCCAAGAAAGCAGCAGCACTAGAATTTCACACACACACACACACACACACACACACACACACTACCTACTTAAAAAAAAAACATTTTCCTTTCAATTAAATGACTGGGGTCTTGTTTCCTTTCTGATCATCCAATAGAAATAACATTCATGGCATTGCAAAAATATTTGCAGATACATTGTCATTACAGCAACACAACCGGTAAACTATGTTGTAGGTAGAGAGGTGGGAGTGGAAAGAAGAAAAAAATATCTGCCTTGTGGAAAATATCTGCCTTGGAGACCATTTGAAGCAGGAGCAGATGAGATCAGTGTTTGTCTACTAGTGTGTACATTTGCACACATTTTCTGTACATCTCTCAGGAAAGCGGTTTACTTAGAACAAAAGTTAAGGAGACCCCTAATCTATTTCCCAGCTTAGAATAGCAAGAGCAGGCTTGGGAGGGCTACATCTGTATTACTAAATTAAAAATATTCCCTACTAGACAACCAACCACTCTGTTCAGTTTCCCTTAGTTAGTAGCACTGTTACTGACCTTGCAACAAAAACCAGAGAAGATAGTAAAACATGAAAAACTGGAAATTCTAGTGAAATATTTTCATACGGCACGATGCTCTTTTCCTGCTCGTTATAAAGTTCACTGAAATATAAGCATGCTTAGGTTTAAAACTTTCATGCATCAGTAAAGTCCACACTTGAAACAAACAGTAGTATCAAAACAGTTTGAAAACAAGTCTTTAAGTATGCCTGGCATCCTAGTTTTATCCCTTTAATTCCTCACAACAGTGTGCTTGGTTTTTCCTTTTTAGACATCTCGGGATTTGGCCTGCTTTATACAGTTTGAGAACGTTAACATTTACTATGGTACTCAGTACAGAGTGAAATACAAGGCTCCTACGGACCACTGCTTTGTCTTAAAGGTATTTACACGACAAATCTATTTTGTAAACATGTGTTCTAGCTGCTCTCATTTATCATCATGTTCAGTCTCATGATTCTGTGCCTGATCTTGCAAGAGTCATGGTACCTGGCTCATGCATTTGTTAGCTAAATGCCAGGCACTGGGGTAAGTACTATGTCGCATCAGGAACGTTCCAGATGGGGAGCATTAGGATCCAATACTGCCTATTTCCCTCCTGAAGGAAATGCCCCTAGTACTCCAAGGCCACATCCACACAAGCCTAGGCATTTGGCTCCCTGGGGACAACTAGAAGAAGCGCACCTTGGCTCCGTGCTAGTTCTCCCTGGGGAACGCCTTGTACCACACACCCTCTGGCATGTGGTAAGTTACCCCAGGTAGGGTAGGGAAGGCTGGGACCAGCACTGGGCTGGCCCCAACAGGCTTACCCGGGAGCCAGGGGAGGGGTGTCCAAATGAGGGTCCTGGGAGCCACTATTTGGAGCCTGGCTGGCAGCTAGAATGCAGCTCTAGATGGCTTGGCTCTGGTTTTGAGTGGCGTGCGCGACTGCCTTGTACACTACTCTGCTTTTTTTCCCTCCCCATGGGTATTTTTGACCCCTGGATATCCAGGGGTTAGCCCCCCTCCACACACACACACACACACACACACACTGCTCCCTTGCAGCACAGAGAACACCTGAATCTGCGTTATGTGGTGCCACACATGGCCACACTTGTCTGGACACAGCCCAAGGGGTGGATTTGAACCCATGGTGAAGGAACAGAGAACTGTGAGGTCTAGAATGTTATATGTCTAAAATGTTAACTTGCCTTAACTGGACATGGGCTACTAGTGATCAGGAATGGAGATTCCAGAATTGGAATGTATCTGGTGACATTGTTGTATGTGAGAAAAAAGATATGGATTCCTCTTCTACAGCTATATTGAATATGTCTGTGAGACTAACAAGAACCATATGCAAGCATAATATAGAAATCCAAACAATAAGAAGAAGCAGATATTTCTGATGCCTTTTTTCTGGTTATAACTGTATTTAATGGACTCATACAAAAAGAAAAATCTGTTTCATTTCAAATGTTTGCCTGTTTAGTTTGCTTGTGGCCAAATAGATGCAACTTATAGGAATCAGGGAGTCAGCCTGATTTTCTGTAAGCACGTTTATGATTAATACTGGTCAACAGTTCAAATAATTCAGTTTTTGAAAAACACCTTAGGCAGAGTTACTTAATTGGTTTTTGTTAAAAAGGTATGATATGATTTCTTTAGTTTATTTCAGAGTCTTAACCAATTAAGGTAAGTCTGTATAACAGCCTGGAATAATTATTCTTTAAAAAAATTACACACACCTTTCATAGAAAAAAAGACCTGTTTGACCTTCAGCTAGTTTGGGTGAGGATGTAGTAGTTCCTGGTCTCTGCGGACTGAGGGGAAAAGAAGTAAGGCAGTGTTATTTTATGATTGTGTAGATGCTCGTAGTATTTGAAGGCATGGAGCTGGGGACAGAGCTCTTGCAATGTGTATACTAGTGAACAGCCTGTCTTTTGTTTCCATGTGAAAGCTTTCTAGGCAGATTCTCCTGCTGACAAGAAAACGTGAACCAGGTTGCCAGAGAAGAACCAGCCAGCCTTAAGGGTCATCAGTTAATCTCAGCATGAGATCTCTCTGATCCTGCCATGCTTTGAGAATAAAGTCCCTAGGATAAATTAATCAGAAAGGAACAGGTGCAGTAGTTACAAGACACTGGCATTAACCTGTCAGGGCATGTCATAACTATACCATTAACTTGGGCAATTGGAACCATAGTCTTGGTATCCCCACAACAAAGCCCTAGCTTTGTTTCTGCACTCCCCAGTCTGGAAATGGTTCTTTGTGCAGAAACACTCTAGGATTCTCTCTCAGTTAATTGGGTCAAATGCAAGGGAACTTGTTCTTCAGCGGGAGTTGTAGGAAGAGCAGCGGGAGACAATCAGTAGTAGCGATTTAGTCTGCATCCTCTCTGGGAAATGGGTCAGTTCCAGCCTCAGTCAGGGCAGAATCTGTGCTCTACTTCTGCCAGGGGAGCTAGCCCAAGATGAAAGAGTGCTTCTGGGGAGAGGGGTTCAGCTAAAGTGCACAGGAGAGACCAGGTTAACTGTTCAGGGAAGACTCACCCTCAGTGAAAAGAGATTTTTATGAAGAAATGATTCTGTCAGAACTCAATTTTAGTAAGACTGAGACATGAAGAACTGAGACATGGTTGTTTTACACTACATCTTTTAGATTATCCTCACACATACCTCAGCCATATGGAAAGTGCCCTTTGTTCATACAAAGTAGATCAGTAGTTAGCAGAGTAGCCCATGGTAAACAGCAGAGGTGCAGGAAACAACAGAGGTGCAATTTTGCTTTGTGTGGACAAACCCAAGTGAAGTGTTAACCAACTTGTTCAGGTATCAATACGAACATAGTGGTGGCAGCATGGATCTCAGCTTGGGTTACCACCCGAAGATTTACCCAGACTTTTGGGTACGTTGTGCAGCTGGAACCCTGTGATACTGCCAGCTGCATTGTTATCAGTTCCCAAACCAGGTGTTTAAGTCAGAGGAGGCACATGCTTTTGTCACACTTTGGTATTGCAATGTAGACATAACCTAAAGTCCTTTCAGATTAACCTCTTGTCTCTGCAAAACCATGGTAGAATCATGATACACTGTAAATGCAGCTTGCCTATCATTCCTTCCACTTACTGGTTTTAGATATGCTGCAGCCCAGATCAAAGAAGAATCCACCCAAATTGGTGTTTTTCCTCTCCTTTTGTGAACCATCAAGATGCCTCCAGTGATAGTGGAGGAGAAGGTTGCATGACTGAGATTGCTCAAGGGCTTCTGTCCTCTATTACTGTGCTTAGCACATTCAGGAGACTGCTTTCAGGATAATTCAGGAGGGGCTGAGGCTCCAGTGCAGACAGCTGCTTCCTAATGCCAGCTACTATTAGACAGAGACAAGCCCAGCTGAGACTTGCTGAGAGGAGCACAGGTGGCTAATCAGCATCTACCAGAAAGCCAAAGTCATATTGAAATGCCTCTATCTAATCCCCGAGCCATAAACTGAAACTGATATCTTTTTGGATCCCTAAGAAAGTGCAGGCTGGGGAGAGGGTTCTGGCATACCCTTAGTAGCAGAGATAGCATCTTTAGGCATTTGGGGAACTCTAAAGCTTAAGATTATTTTTCCTTATGCATTTGGTCTGTGCTAGGCTATAGCCTTCTGTAAGAGGAAGCTGAACTGCTGGAACAGGCTTTTGGTACCTGAGCCAGGAATCCCATCAGACCTCCCTTCATTTTGTACATAACAAAAATATACTTAGTTATTAAAAATTAGAGCTTCAAAAGAACACAAGCCCCTTTTGGGGGCTGCCCCTGTAAGATGCAGATGTTTCCTATCTTCTTAGTGAACTATACTTAACACAGTGAAAGTGCTCCACCCTTTCCCTTAACATCTGTGCAAACAGATCTTTTCCCTTTAGAAACCAGTCGTGTTGCATCCTCATATCTGACTATTGGCTCATTTAATTTTATATAAGAAGGGAGACCTTATTCAACCAAAAAACCCTGAACACCTCTCGCCACCTAGTTGTGGCTAGAGAATGCTAATATTATGGTTCAAGAAAACTGTCCTGATTTCCTGTACAAACAGGAGAAACGAGGTGAACAGCCAGCTCTGTAAGAAGGACTCTTCATCTCAACCTGCAGCCACACAAAGCCAATGCTTTTCTTTTCCTATCACCTGGCAGCAGGTAGTAGAAAGTAAAATAAGCTTCTCAGTGGAACTGCTTTCCAAACCACCTTGCTGACTCTAATGTCTGCTTGGAGGGACAAAATGAAGATACAGCTTTTGCCTCCTGACTCTCCTCCACAAGAATAAATTACCACTCGTACCTGTAACAAAACAAATAAGTTGAGGGTGTTCTGCACAATTTAGACTAGCACCTTTACACTACACGTTACTATAGACAGGTGACTCTCCTATGACCCCTTTCTTCCTCCTTCAGTAAGTATCTAGAGGAGTACTTCTGGGGTGGGCATGTTGTCTCAATGTCATGTCATCCCAATCCCACAGCCACTGTCATTCCTTTCATGGCATTAGGTTAAAAGTCTTCCAAAGTCAAAGAGAGGCCCCCCCTCCATTAGCAAGAAGGTCCCATTCATCACTTTGTTGGTTCATTTCTATTTTATTTCATAGAAATTTTGAATATTATTAAATATACCGCTAGCATTTGTTCTATGAGGGAGTATACTCACTAGTCTGGGAGCTGGTTGTATCACTGTAATGAATCCTTCAAAGCAGACAAATAGCAAGGTAATCTATATGCAAATTGATTGGTTTAGTCAGTCTGATGTGTCTGAGCCAAAGAATGAATTTAATTATGGTTTATTGGTGCTGGTTTTGCTTGAGTAATCTGAAGGTAATGGTGCATAATGCTGAATTAATCTAGGATGAAAAGAAAGTGGTTTCCTGGGGATAAACTGAGACAAGGGCATCATCATACTCCATTTCCACAGCTGGGTACATTTTCCTTTGCAATCTATCTAGCTAAATTTTCCTGATAGCCTTTGGAGGCTGCCATGCTTCTTTCAGATGTCCAGTTTTCTAGAGACAGTTAAGGCCAAACTCCCTGCCAGAATCGCTTGGTTTGCTAGATTGGAGTTATTCCGGCAGAGAATTTTGTCATCAGTTTGGTCACTGCTGATATGCTCCAAGCCCACACCTACTACACCTCATCAGACACTGAGGCTTGTACATAAAGCATTCAATAGGATACAATTTTAAGGATGTGAAGGTCCAAGGTAAGAGTGTTTGAGAGATTGAGGACAGGAGAGAGAGGTAGAAAAGAATGGTTATCAAGGGAAACCAGAAATGGATGAGAAATGTTGTGACTTCAGATGAGTATTTCAGATCCATGTTCATGACTCCACCACTCATCTGAAGATGGCAAGTGTAGAAAGATGTTATTAATTA